CCCTCTGCATTTCACCAAACATTTGTATTTACTTGGGTTCAGGTCAAGGAGTAGCCTCCTTCGCAGGCATCGCCTTTAGATTATCGGGCAAATTTTGCTTGCAGGCAAAAAAAATCCCACCGACTTTGTAAAGTACGTGAAACACGATATGCCTGCGGAGGAGGCTAGTCAAGGGGCATGTAGCAATTTTGAGTATTGACCTGACAACCGGTTTGCACCGAGTTACTCGGTAGAGATTAAGCAATTCCGAATGACTGTTTCAAAAGGAGGGAGGGTGGGATTTTCCAATTTGAGTTTGAACCAGTAAACTGGCGACCAGAATCCGCCTGGCAAAGCTGCAGTTGGCGCAATGAGCTGGCACATGTCATAAAACCCATCCCCAAGCTACACGCACTCTAGTTGTTCCTTAGTGTTACATAACCTTGGTTATTGAATAATGCTTTCCCAACACTATTAATTCTGATCATGTATTCTATCAAACTTTGCGAGTTTGCGTTAACAAAAAGTCTTTCATACGTATGTCAGGAAACTGTGATACAAATTGTCGCGAAATCAGGGCAAAATTCGAGGTTTTCGCTAAGTCATCAATATTCGTGTCAATTAATAGAAGGGGACAACATGTGCGTGAAGTTTGAGATTCCCTAGGCAATCTTTCCCAAACGTAATTCAACTATGACGATATGCAAGACGAATCTACGACTGTAGCTACTGTTCCTTCTATAATATAATATATACGAAATAAACAAGTAAGATATTGGACGTTTATACTGTTACTGCTTCAAACTTCATTCCTTATTTGACGAGAAATTGAGCGCTAGTTTACTCAAATGTTCACACTATTATTAAGCTGAATGTTTGATATGCATCAATAAACCTTTATATATTGTTTTGTTAATTTCGAGCTTGAAATATCCGGACTGAAACAATTCGAGCCAACTGATGACCCAACTCTCATCTTGGTTTGGCCTGCACGCAGGGCTTTATTCCGCTTTAATACCGTTATTTGTCACTGTTGTGGTTATCAGGTTATGTGGTTAACATGGCAGCAACATTACAATTCAAGTATGGCAGACTCGCACACCGCTTTTATCGCAGAAATTCCAGCTACTGAATAATCAGGCTTGCAAAAAAATAATCTATCTATAGGGCGAAATAAAGGTAAACCTAGGATAAACGGCTACTAAACGCCACGAATCAAGGGTCTTGATATAATTTTGAAAGGAATTTACCACTGTTTATGTGGTGAATTACTGTGTAAATGGTTACGTGTCTATTCAATTAATGCATCACACTATTGAATTGTATATAATTGTACACAAACATAGCTAACTACATGGTATTCACGCACGCTAACCTTGAAGTTGAAGGTTGATTACCCCGCACTTCAACAGTTCGGTTTCCCTCCAAACGGTGGTGTAACAGCGGTGTTCGTTCGTTTGCCATTCAGTGATCGAGTGTCTCCTTGTTGTCTTGCACGTCAGGCTTTGCTTCATTGAAATTTTCAGTATCAATAGAATATTGTATTGCGTGGTGTATTATTCAAATCGAGATTCAAATCATTACGGTTTGATCAATAATGGTCTTCAAGAAACATCACATCGTTTCAGTCAGTCTTCAAGGCAGCATTTTAAAAGTGAGAGTTGTACTGTCCTCTCTCATCCTTTCTATTGACAGTAGGAAGGAGAACAGAAGTGAATTAATGTAAATATAGGACAGCTCTTGATTTACATATAATTATACGCACACTCGCTCACACTTCCCACAACCACTGCAATTTATAAAGATGTTCTTTGTGGTGTACTTTAATATACATGGTTTATCGCCACGTAACTATTCACGTCAATATTGCACTGATTGAGCCGGAACCTGGCGATTGATAGCAACACCGTCACGATTTCAAGAGACAATTACGCGACTGATGCCAGTTTCAGTAAATCATGTGGTCGGCCTTGTGGTCAAATTTGTATGAATTGGTTATTAAAGCCTGGTTCACACTGATCGTAATTCATCGGCAATCTATTGTATTCTTTTCCGACTGACAAAGCATTTTACTCACCAATGACCACAGACAATGGAAATCCCCGATTCTTACGACCAGTGTGAACCAGGCATAAGCCGTGTATAGTAAAGCACAGAAGTCAGAACACGTCATAAAATTATTCTGGTTATATAAAGTATATGGTAATTATACAGACTATGTCTTACGTTATCTATAACGACTCTGAATACCATACGCCAAAATTATCTACGTTTTTGGCTTTTTATCCATCTGCCGGAGCGCCAGTTTCGCCAGAGCGCCAGTTTCGCCAGTTTGCCGGAGCGCCAGTTTTGCCAGAGCGCCAGTTTTGCCAGAGCGCCAGTTTTGCCGGAGCGCCAGTTTTGCCGGAGCGCCAGTTTTGCCAGAGCGCCAGTTTTGCCAGAGCGCCAGTTTTGCCAGAGCGCCAGTTTGCCAGTTTTGCCAGAGTGCCAGAATTAAAAGTGTATGTAAATAGTGCCTGGCCACGGTGGGAATCGAACCTAAGGCCTTTGGAATACTAGCCCAATGCTCTCCAACTGAGCTACCCGGTCAGGTCTGTTCGAGTATGTGATATTTCGGAACTCAGTCTAGTTTCTTCGATATCAATGCAATCTAGTATCATGATTTTTTCTGTGTGTTGGTGTTATGTACTCAGGTGAATATAATGTTTGTGATGTTACTCTGAGTGCATATCCACACCGAGCAAGCTTGAAAAATATGCCTGGCCACGGTGGGAATCGAAACTACGACCCTGCCTCGTCCCCAGTCGCTTGCTATCAAATAATTAATTAGTAAAAGACGAAAATTAATGGGGGCGCGCGGGACGACATTGATCTATATGTTAAACTGATATGTCTATATATACACTGATCTACAAATAGTAAGGGCCTGCGAAGGAGGCAGACTACGACCTTTGAAATACTAACCAGGCATATTTCTGTCAACGGGCAACGGAAACTTAGTCTCCTCCTCCCCCCCCCCCCTCGAGTTGGGGGAGCGGGGGCTTAAGAAGGGCAACATGATTTAACCGTTCTCTGCGTTGTTGTATTCGACAAAAAAGGGTCTGATTGGTTCTTGGGCTGATTATTTACTGTTCTTTTACAGTTATACAAGATATTCAGTGGTTGAAGCGTAGATGTTTATTTGTGCGCAAAACTTCCCTTTTTGCTTTTTTTGTGGTGTTTCTCAGTGGCAGTCACGTCTCCCCTATGCCAAAGTTTGATAGGATTAAAGATTTGTAATCCAGGCATATTGCATGTGATTGTTAATTGAGCTTTCGACTCGGTTCTTCCAGTATTCTTCACAATGTTTATGGGCATACTTTGAAACCCGGACCGGACTCGGACCCGGATTCGGACTCGAAGAAAATCCGGACTCGAGAAAAACCCGGACCCGGACTCGAAGAAAATCCGGACTCGTGGTTAAAAAAACCCGGACTTGACTTTTGAAAACCCGGACTATAAATAGAAAAAACCGGGTTCAAAACAAGGACTCTGTGTACGAGAATGCAAAGGTTTTTTGGAAAGGTTTAATAATAGTTAACATGATAAACGATGATCTCTTTACAACAATAATCAGTATAAATAAATTTCCAGAGTGCTGTTAAACTATCTGGCGTAGTGCTGATAAAGAATCTGAGTTGCATCGGTAATAATTCGATTTGTGCTCTCGCGCGGGTGTCCCTCTCTCTTCCCGCTTGCTATATATATATATATATATATATATATATATATATATATATATATATATATATATATATATATATATATATATATATATATATATATATATATATATATATATATATATATATATATACATATATATATATATATATATATAAATAGAATACCTTATTTCAAAAGCAATAAGCATTGGTTTCGAAAGATGTAGATAATTTTTTCTTCTAGTGACTCAGTGTTATGTGTCATGTGAGGATATATTAATCAGTAATATACTATATGAACAAATCATTTAGGCACGTAAACACCAAAATGCCGCGTTTATGCGTACTTCTGCGAGTAGCTAAATCTACCCTAGACCTAAATTAATAACTAAAATGGCTGTCTCAGCAGTCAGGAATGAGTTGTCTGGAAACCATCTCGTTACACGATTGCTGCAACCATAGCAGACAACGTGATGGCGGCAAGGGTAAAATATATCCCCAACACAATCATCGACTTCACATAAAAGTACTGATGCGCTACTACAGTGGACAGCACACTTTCGAAAAATTTGTCAAAATGACATGAAAAATAACTCGATCGTGTTTTGTGGCTTGGCATCAATTCATTTCAACTAATAGCGAATCCAATGATAGCTTTTCAAAGTCCCGAATATATTTATATATTGCCGAAAAACAACCTCAATAAAAATTATTTCCGTTTTAGCAAAGTAACTTCAACCCGATCAAAAAGAGCGCCGGAAAAGCACATCACATCCTGAAGGCAATGGAGGTGTCGCGGCAACCGCGCTTAAATACCGACTGTGAAGTAATTCGAGCGTTGTGCGCATGGACATAAATTTGATATTTATATATTCATGCTCTCAAATATTTTGGCAAGACGCTACTGGAAACACGTTTATTTTCTCAATTTTGTTAAGATAAAGTCCATAAACACGAGTTGAACACCCGCAATTATTCCTAATCAAAATAGTAGAAAACACGTCACAATGAAAGCAACCTTAAGTGGAAGCAAAAAAGGTGTCGCAGCACCCGCAGCCTAGAAATGCCGACAGTGAAATTCGCGTTGGGTGGATTGGCATAAATTTGATATTGAGACCCTCTCGTTAGGCAATGCGTTCATCAATTGCCCCAGATACCTTGCATACAACCGCGGCTCCGGCAATACTGACAATGAAGTTGGACAATAAATCAAGTTATTTGGAGAATCAACATGCTACCCACGTACTATAGCTACTTGTAGAAGTATGCGTAAATACATTTTAGTTTTTCAAATAAGTGCCTAAATGATTTGGTTCCAGTATATCTGAGTGATTATTTTGTTAAAAAATATCGAGATAAAGATATAAAGAGGCCATATCGTTTATCATGTTACTAATTATTAAACCTTTCCAAAAAAAACTTTGCATCCTCGTCACACAGAGTCCATGTTTTGAATCCGTTTTTTTTCTATTTCGAGTCCGGGTTTTCAAGAGTCAAGTCCGGGTTTTTTTAAACACGAGTCCGGATTTTTTTCGAGTCCGGATCCGGGTTTTTCACGAGTCCGGATTTTCTTCGAGTCCGAGTCCGGGTCCGAGTCCGGTCCGGGTTTCGAAGTATGCCATGTTTATGGAATGTTTGTGAAGACTCAAAGAACCCTGTTGAAAGATCGTATTATTAAAGTTGTTTTTATTCCGGAGAACTTCAACAATCACAAGTAATCCTGGATTAAAAAAAGTATTTAGTTCAAACATATCAAATTGACATATATGGGAGAGACATTCTCAAAACTGACACCAGAAAAATGGGAAATTTTTCGTGCACAAAGAAGCATAAAAAGCCCTATGGAAATTCAACAGGCTGTCGTGCATCATAAACGTGGCTAAACAATTCAATTTTTACATACGACGAAAGGCGGAAAGAACAGTTATATTTAGCTTTTCAATGATACTCTTTTTAAATCGTAACGATGAGACTGAAGGCCACATACTCGTCAAATAAAAATTGCCGGTCGAAATCACATTCTTCCACCGTTGGGAATTGCATGGAAAACGAACCATAAACAACTCCCAAGAAGGAATTAAAATTGAATGTTAAATTATCTAAAATGAGCTCAACTCGTCAATCTTCGTCTTAGTGAGACAATAACTCAATAAGAACGTCATAAAACATGGTTCAATTAACCCCTGAACAGAGAAGATTCGTAATCAAAACGTTTTACGAAACAAACAGCTTGCAGGTTGCTTGCAGATTGCTCGCAGCAGGCTCGCGTTGCTTTTGGATTGACTAACTTTGCATAATTCATGTATTTTCAATTCCCAACGGTGGAAGAATGTGATTTCGACCAGCAAATTTTATTTGACGAGTATGTGGCCATTTCTCACCGTTACGATTTAAAAACGGTATCATAGAGAAGCTATAAATATCAGCTCCTCTCGTTCTATGTAAAAATTGAATTGTTTAGCTAAGTTTATGATGCACGACAACCTGTTGAATTTCCATAGCTTTTTTTTTAGACACCCTGTATATCACACTATACTAGTCCACCACGACTCAAAGTAAGATTTATGGATGTGGCATGCATCCAAACATTTATCATAATAAATTTAATTTATACAAGTCTTACTTATTTGAGTCGTACTGTAGTGGACTGTTTTGTTCTTATATATTCATGTTTCGCCTGCTGATCGGACCTTGGACATTTACTCTATCGAGTTTTTCTGGCCAACCCAACCACACCTTTATTCTGTCACCTATATGCAAATTATGAGTCTATCATAATTTACGTTATTACAACTTTTATAACGTTAAATATTTAATCCAGGTAAACAGTCCTGACCCCCACCCAGGCAAACACGTGATGCTTCGTAACGTCCCTTGATATGTGTAGTTCTGACTTTTTGTTAAAATAAACCCTGCTTTTATCAATACGAGTTTAAATGTTAACTTAATTATTCTTCCAACGCCACTTTACTTAACTGGCGCAAATTATTTCTCCTT